CACCCGAATCAATGTCAATTCTTTTTCAGTTCATAATTCTTGCGCATCGGTTTCATTATTTAATAGATAGGTTTCCGTATGTTGAAAATGATCTCTTCTGACACATACCAATGAATACAATATGTAAAGAAGAGTAATTAATTGAATATAAGTTAACACAAATAATTAATTGAATGACTGAGGCGATGGAAAATAAAAATTTTCGAAAAAAGATGCTTAGCATACTAGACTAATAATTCAATGCAATTAAGAAAATAAGACTAAACGGGTGTGCTTTTCGGTAACCAAATCTGAGTGCATATAACTCGTGAGGGTCATGATAAGAGCGACCAAAATAATCTTCTTTATGATAACAAGAGTGAGGAGTCCAATTTTATTTACGTACTTTGCTTTTGTGTCAATCGTTGAAAACATATATATATATGATCTCATAGGATCTTTTAGTTTTTTAGTGAGAAGAAAAAACCATGATCGATAGATCATAGCGAATTTTATTTTTGTATTACTAGTTATTGGGTTGATTTATTGTTCTACAAAGTAAAGATCAATAAATCCAAGAAGTTCTGTATGTATTTAACTAGTTTTAGCTCTGTGAATCGACCTTTGTTTTTATGTTGATGCACATACTCTATGGGAATATGTTTAGAATCAACAATAATCGGTCATTTCTCGGAACTTTTGACTTTCATATATTCGAAATTCCATCGTCATTAGTGTTCAATTTTGCGATGATCTATTGATATATATTAATTCTAATAGGCTAGAGCAATAGATGCTAAAATGGTATGAAAATTTCGATTCAGATTTAATTATATCAATTCGAGTCAAACCATCCCGAATGAAAATCTCATTGAATAATATTACTTTATCTTACAGAAATCCTGCAGTTTAGTAACATTTTCGACTAATAAAAAATCTAAATATCAAGGTTTACTGCGCAGGTACGTATGAAGCAGAATGTTAAAAAGAATATCTTCAAAAGCTTTCATGAAATTTCATTAAAGAATAAATAAGAATTTCAAAGAATATTGACGGTTAGAACTGTGTGTTTTATCAATGAAATAAACTCACTTAAATGTGATTAATCATCACGGTCCTTTGTAAAAATGTCGAAAGATAAAATGCCGAAGAAAAAATTATCAAAACAATCGAGTTTAGTCGTCGTATAAATTTTACTTTGATTGTAAATATGCATGTTGATCAATGAAATAATCAATTAATTTCGCATTCATGTGCACGGCATCTTGAACTTTTAGATATTGTTTTCGCTGAGTAAAATAATTCGGTATATGTTATGCATCTAGGTATTTATTTTTATCAAATAATTGATTACATGATTATATTTAAAAGTTCAAAAGATAATGCTTTTTTTCTCTTCATAGTTCACTTAAAAGTCGCATTGATAAAAAAGAGGCCATTTATTATGATTTCACATTCTAAACCAAACATGGATAAAGTAAATGAAATTCATTTAGTGTTTTCTGATATTCTTGATCGAATTATGTTCAATTCGATTATCTGTTGGCGCATATCCTTCTTATTTAGTCAACTTTATCAAGTTATGTAAATAATTTAGTTTTCTAAATGATGTCATTTGTGAAAATTAGAATGCAAGCTATGTTGAACTTAATATTTAGCTAAGCCGATGTATTGATGGTTTACGTGAACAAGATTTAATGGAATTTAAATCAAATGATGCTCAAAATCGTCTACACTGAACTAATCATGCTTGTTATTATCAAAAAATAGCTGGAGGTCTGTTAAGACTTGAGTGGTTTGAGCAGCTTATACTCATTTTCGTATATCAGAGTGATATGTTTTTGCGAAAGAAACCTTTTGTTACTTTTAACTCATCACATATCAATGAAAATATCCATGTAACTGTTCTATTTCAGATGGTAGCTGATCTTAATTATACTCGTTTTTTAAGTGAATCAGCTTTACGTCGACAGCCAAATGCAATTCGTGAAGCTGGTAAGTGTATATGAATGATTAAAAATGAAGGTCAATTGGAATCGTCTTAGACCCTCTCTACTGCTCTAAAGGAATTTTTTTCTTATAGATATTTTATGATGTTTTAAGAAATATCTCAAAAGAGTTCGAGTCCATTTTGAGATTTGATTAAAACATCAAATTTTTATTAGTAAAAAGCTCCATATTGCATTCAGGATATGAGATTTTGCTTAAAGCTTCTAGCTTTTCAGATAGAAATGCGGCCAATTTTCGTTGTGCCAAATGTTTCAGATTAAAATTCGAAGCTATATGCTTTCAGCAAACATGAATGTATATATTGACGACAACACTTTGACGTACCAAACATAGAAAATGTAAGAAAGTTGGAAAGGAACGTCTAAGGTGATTCCATTGTAGTCTACGCTGGATAAATATTGGACTTATAAAAGTTTCGATATCCATGATCGGTCTTCATATGTGTTCTCTACCGGAAGTCTTCTACTTCTATATATATATATACCTATATAATACAATTCATTTAATATTTCAGCTCAATTATTTTCACAATCATGACCATCAACTATCAGTTTCGCAGCAGGAAACCCAAATAAATCGTCATTTCCGTTTAAAGAAGCGATTATCTCTATCATGTGAACTTGTTTATTTCTTTTTCAGTTCATAAAAGTGCTAAAATTGTTCTTTTTTTTACGTTAGAGACGGTACAACTATTCAATTAGATGCTTCTGCAATGACTGAAGCATTGCAATATTCACCTACACCTGGGTATCTATTTATTTCTATATCTAATTGTGATTCATTAGTTTCAATGTTTTTTTCATCAGGCAAGCAGATTTATTAGGATGGTTAAAAAAGCTACAAATTCGTTATCATTCTCCAATAGACTTTAATCGATATGACTTATGTATAACGAATGGTTCCAGTGAAGGAGTAGCCAAAGTTTTTGAACTTATTCTTAATCCGGGAGATGCAATTTTAATTGATTCACCTTGCTATCCAGGATCTTTAGACTTCGTACATAATTGAAAAACAAACCAAACGCTTTACTTGTTTTACTCATCTTTCTATTTAGCTTCTTGCATATGGTGTTGATATTATTTCCATAGAGACAGATTCAAATGGTATGAGTGCTGAGCATTTAAATGAAACTCTTTCAAATTGGCCAAATTCAAAAGGTTTACCTAAAACTCTTTATACGATTTCAACTGGTTCTAATCCTACGGGAGCATCCATGAGTTTAGAACGCAAAATAAATATTTATGATGTAAAACGACGAAAAACAAATATTAAATCTGATCTGATATATTTATTTTATTTAGATTGCTAGAAAATATAATCTATTAATTATTGAAGATGATCCTTATTATTTTCTTCAATTTACGGTAATAATTAATAGATTCTTTAAAAAAAAGAATTATTATTCGTATGCACTTATTATAGAAACCAGAACCATCGTTCTTATCAATTGATACTGATGGACGTGTTATCAGACTTGATTCTATGTCGAAAGTTTTATCACCTGGGTAAGATTGAATGAATAACTGAAAAATAATACAAGTTTTCTATAGAATGCGTCTTGGTTTTGTTACTGCACCGATACCATTATGGCAAAAAATAGTCTATCATCAACAAGTAACAAGCATGCATGCAAGTGCTCTTTCGCAAGTAAAGTTTTAACAAAAAAAAAAATATAAAATGAAATTGTTAACCAAACTTTGCATGGCTCACCCATTAGATGATTCTATTGAAATTATTTGAAAAATGGAATTTATCAGGATTTGATGAACATTTACAAAGGTGAAATTTATCGATAAAGATTTTTCATATAATTATTTTTCATTATTTTATAGAATTATGAAATTTTATGAAAATCGAAAAATGCTAATGATCGATGCTATTAATAAATATTTGAAAGGTATAGTTACTTGAATAGTTTTTCACATATAAAATATTGATTTTCATATAATCACCGTTCATATTTAGATATGGTAGCATTTCATGAACCAAAAGCAAGAATGTTTATATGGTTAAAAATCTATGGTGTCGAAGATACCAGGAAATTGATTTATGAAAAAGCTCTTGGCAAAGAAGTATTACTTTTACCGGGTAGTGTATTTTTCGTTGATAAATCAAAAAATTATCCGTACGTTCGAGTTTCTTATTCGCTTTGTGCACTGGAACAAATTGAAATAGTAAGTCTACTTATTACTACTACTATTCATTATGAAATATATTTCCATTTCAATAGGGCATGGAACGTTTCAGTAAAGTTCTTCAAGAAGAATTAATTCGTTTATAAACTCGAAATCTTGAAGATAATAATATTAGAAACTTGCTTTTTTAATCTTCTATCCGCTTATGAATCATTTAACAAAATTACAATAAAACCTTCACTTAAATGATTTTTATTTGATTACTTCTGTCAAGTGTGTTTTATATCTTTGAAATCATGCATCAGAAAAGGAATCACAATAACTTGATATTACTATTCAAATTCACTTTACTTGGCAAACACTTCGTTATGTTGCTTCCATAGTGATTTGATATTTATTCTCGTAGTGTAAGAGTGATAAGTTATGGTATAGAGCGAATCTTGACGGATTGAAGGTATGCATGTTGGATGTGGGTATGGGTGTGGGTGTGGGGTGTGGGTGTGGGTGTGAATGATAAAGAGATGATCTAGAGTAAGAACCACACCCAACCCACATCCACACCACACATCCACACACCCACACCCACACCCAGCCACCCACACACACACCCCGCACCCATATCAACAGCTACACACCCACACCCACACATACACTTT